AATGTTTTATCTGAGGCACTGTAAGCAAAGATGCTGAAAAAAACCCTCAAAAATCCAAATCACAACGAAAACCCCTGAACAGACATACTAGCCCAGAACTTAGCCCACACAAGAGAAGAGCACACTTATACATATATTCATGATTTGGAGGAAGACATTTAATATCTGTCTCGAGTTTCTCATTCTCAGAATGCTTATTTTCAGTACTTACACTATTCTTTTACTGTACATTTTTTTGGGTAAGAACATATTCCTACTTCTCTTTTCCTGGGACCACATAGACTCACTCTATTTAACTTCAGAAAAGCTCAGAATTTTTGCAGGACGGTCTCTCTGTTTTTGATGGGGAATGGAAAGAATAGGATTTTGAGGGCTCACAGAGAATTAAGCCTTTTTTTTTCCAGCCCAGAAGACATTTTTCCTTGAAAGTTCTACAAGGTTGAAAAAACCTCATCAGTTAGGAGGCAAGCAATTCTGAATGTTTCTAATGCTCAGCTGTTATAAAAGAGGAAGAGGTTTTCCAAGCGAGGTTTTCCAAGCAAGGAAAGGGCTCTTTCCCTAGTCGAATCATAGAAAGAAAGACTGTGGCAACTACCACATGAAAAGATGTGTTTGAAGGAAACTATCAGTTCAGAGACTTACATGGAGCATTTAGTTTACACTTTCATCTTTTTCTTCATCTTTTTTGGTAACAAGAAATGTTCCTACATCTATGCTTGCTCTCCAAGAAAGTGCAGGTGTCTGCGCAGAGTTTTCTCTGTAGTTTTTCTCCTCCTGGAAAGTCAAAGTTAAAGAGATAGAACTATTAGTGGGAAACACTGGCTAATCCTCTTGCAACACCTGCTATCAGAATATGGGGTATTATTTTTTGTTATTTGAGTATCAGTTTTACTCTCTGCTACATTATACATCTCTCTATAAGTGCCCTAGAAGCTGCTGACACACTTTTAAGCTGACTACAAGTCATTAAGCAGTTTCTTTTTCTGTATGACAAGCACTGGCATTTGTAAAAGGAGGAGAGTGAGGGCAGGGGCAGTAGCACTGTGTTACCTACTCATGCATTTCAAAAGAGAAATCTTGTCTTAGACTGTAACAAGGGAAAGGGAACTTTTGGAGTCATTAAATTTTGAGCTAAGTGTCTCCATTAATGCATAGGCACTCTTCTAACTAGTTATTACTTACTCTGATTTCTGTGAGGAAACTTTGTCCAAATCCCCTTTAGGGTACTGCAGACTCATTGAGCTGTGACAACTGTCATACCTGAGTAAGTCACTGTAGCAACTCAGGAGCCTCTCTGCTTAAATTACATGGAAATGTCTGATAGTCATACTGGCACCCAGGCATTTTACAGCTAAAGGTGACACTATAGATAGCACCTAATGCTCAAGAGCTAGCAAGGCTTCTCTCAAAGCACCCAAAATACAGAAAAGACATGATTCAGAGCTACATTTTTGTTACAGGAATCTGTGATGTTGCCATGAGTGCAGCTTTGTTAAAACTTAAAGAAATAAAATTATGTTTATTTGGGACCACAAAGCTTCAATTATTAAACAGACCAAATTTTCTCCCATCGAAGATGTAGCCCTATTTTCTCTGCAAGAACTCTTTTCCAGGGTGCAGGCATTTGGCCCATGGCTTGGTCACACCTCTCTGTATCCAGCTTCTTTGGCAACTCTGAACATAACCAGTCCTCCAAGGCGAAACAACAGTAGCCTCTTATTGGACGGCTCATATATGTAGATGATTTTGTGTGCTTAGAACACAGAATGAATTAGAAAGGAAGGAGGGCACAAAGGAGAATCTTATATTGATTGCAACATTAGGCTTGACATTGTTGCCCAATTTTGCAAAAATCATTCAGAATTTCTGTTAGCAATAAAACTACCCTGTGCATGCAGAAACTGTGGGATTGTGGGCAAGACAGTGGGCACTGATGCCCACACGCAGTCCAGAAAATGCAAAAGCCCCTCAAACTAAAATAATTAAGGCTTTCTGGATATTCATTTGTAATTTTGGAAGGAAAAAAAAAGAGGGAAATAAATGAAATAATCAAAAGTTCCCAAATCAGAATGTTTCAGAAGATTATGTTTAAAAAGCACAAGAGCAGAGATAAACCTGGAAATTTCTTTGCTATAACACACCAATCTTTGAAGGCTTGTGCCTAAATAATTTAAGAGTTAAAACCAGACTTCTTTTCAAGGGCTACAGCTTCTGCAGAAGATGTTCCATTCTGCATGAAAATGAAAATTGGAAAAATGGTTAAAGATAAATTAAAAAAAAGAAGTCATAGAACCATAGAACCATAAAATCAACCAGGTTGGAAAAGACCTCCGAGATCATCAGGTCAAATGCAAACAAGTAATTTCCAGAAGAATTTTTTAGCCAGGTCAGTTTTCTAGAGTTCTTTGTGATTATCATTACCTGCATGCAAAGGAGAAGGAATTTTTTATAAATCATTTCAGAAAATATTTTTAATATTTTGTGCTTGTCGTGAAGAGGAGTATCTGGCTTCTCACCCATGCAAATGCTCAGAGTTTTCCCAACAGGTCAGAGACAGTAAACAAAACAGTCACAGTACATGCTGTCTTTCTAGCCAGCATCAGTGTGAATTGTATAGCTCAGGAGCTCAGTTTTGGTAGTGGGAAGGTGAACTTGGTCTGATTGGGATGGACTTACTTTTCTTCACAGCAGACCTTATGATGATGTCTTTTAGACTTGCGACCACAGTTGGAACAAGTGACCCAAACTGACCAAAAGGATCATACTCAGCAAAAAACAAGGGGAAGTTTTTCCAAAATAGGCATTGCTCAGAGACTGGCTAGCCATCCATCTGCTTGTTAGTGGGTGGCAAGCATTTGTCGTTGTATCATCTCTTGTGGTCTTTTTCAGTTTCATTTTCTTATTCAACTGTCTTTATCTTAGCCTGCAAGTTTATCTTGCTTCAGCACTTCTGATTCTTTCCCCCATCCTGCTGTCAGGGGATGTGAGTGGGTGACTCGATATGGGCTTAGCTGCTGGCGGGGATCAACCCCTCACAGGACATAAGACTTGGACAGCAAAGGAGACAAATCTGTAGGGAATCAGTTAACTTTAGTTCTGCTGCTCCCACAATTATTTTCTGCTGGTGTTACAACTCAGAGTAAGTTCCAAAATGAAAAGAAAAAAATTAATTATTTTCTTCGTATACAAATACAAAGATTCAACAAGGCTAAGTGTGCCAGGGGAGATTTATATCCAATACTAGGAAAGATTTCTTCACTGAAAGGGATATCAAGCATTGGAACAGGCTGCCCAGGGAAACAGTTGAGTTACCATCCTTGGAGATATTTAAAAGGTGTGTAGATGGGGTGCTTAGGTACATGGTGGACTTGGCACTGTCATGTTAATGGTTGGACTCAATGATATCGGAGGTCTTTTCTAATCTAAATTATTCAATGATTCTACAATATTACAGTTCTATATATATGAGTGTATATATGTGAATGTTTACTTGTGCATATACACACAGAGAAAATTGTTTTAACTCTGTGTAACCAACAAAATTTATTCAAGAAGATTATTTGCATTATATATATCCACTGAGATAAAAATCCAGATCAAAACTAAGTCCTCTGAATCCTGAATGGTCTGTAATTACATATCAGGAAATAAGCTTTTGCTCAAACTGCTGAGTAGGCTGACATGAGCGTAAGACACTTTAGAAATTTCACATGCTACAGCTCAGAATGGTCCACCATGTAATTGAATTGACTATCTACCAAAAAGCAGACCAGAGGCCTGTCTCTGTGTCACTCCAACCACGGGCTGAGTTTCTTCAGTTACATTTAGTCTTGCAGAACTTGGGTGCAGAGAGAATGAAGTCGTGGTTTTGAGAGTGTGGTGTCTGTAAAAGACATCTGCAATCACACAGGGTAGACCACACCATTGAAAAAAGTGCATTCAGGAAAGGAGCAAACACTGCTGTGGGACATGAGTGGTCAGGGATCACACAGCAAGCTGGGGCAGAGGCCCTGCCTGGTCTTCTGTGTCAGGAGCAGGCTGTTGCCTTTGTCTAAGAACAGGCATCAAATGGACAGGAAGGTGCTTATTTCAAAACCATCAACTTGCCATGGGCAGTCACCACTCCTCCATGAAGTGCCTGAGAAAAGCAGTCATGATGGCACAGCAAGAAAGAGCAGCCCTTCAATCAGACAGCAAGTAGCTCTATTTGAGTGGCTACCAAGGCATTGATTTCACTTCCCCACTAAGTGACCAGGGAGCACATTTGGCCACTCTGACACTCATCTTCACAAAATCCTCTTCCCAGCTTCTCATGGGACCCACGGGAATTCTTCCATGTTCTCCAGAGGTCTGTGAGAAGACTGTTCTCCTCAACTTTTCAGAGACCAAGTTACACAAAGATAGCTATTCTTCTACACCTGGCTCACAGTCCTACTTGGGACTTGGGAAAGGGGAAGACTTTGGTGACTGGAGGGCCTCCCACTGTAACAGAACTGGCCTGGGGGCTTTCACAGCTCTGCTGCACACTCACCTCCCAGGCCCTGGCTCCTTCTTGCAAGGGAAGCTCAGTCCCTACAATGGTTCCCAAACCAAAACTGAAGGGACAGAGAGGTTGCACTTCCTCAGTGTTGCCTCGCTGGAAACACTGAATAACAAAGGGTGAAGAACAACATCACATGAAGAACTGTAGTGCACACAGATAGCAATGTCCATATCTGCCTTTCGCCTTTGTGCTTCCTCCAAGACACTCAGTCAAGTCTTAACTTTGCAGCTCCTGAATCACGCCTGTAAACAGCTACTGAAACAAGGAATCAAAACTCCTTACATCCCCAAGCAGCACTGGGGAGGTCTTTCAACTGACAGTAAGATGCCACAACAGACACAGGTGTCAGAGGCCATCCTGACAGCAACTCTCATCTTTTGTGCCATTTGCCAATGTGTTTGTCTCTCCTTTCTCTCTACAGGACTGTGCACTGTTTTCAATCCAAAGCGACCTGAAACCAACACGCTGCCATTGCCTACACCTGGCACAGGGTCTCTAAAGGACACAGTGTTTGCCATTTTGACTCAGACCAACGCTGCTGAGCTCCCGCTCTGCAACACCCAGGACAGCAGGTCCACTGGGCAGGTATGTTTAGTATTTTCCAGTGTCCTGTTTCCCATAGGCATTAAGGCTCCCAGGTCACAAGCAGCCTAAAAAACTGGCGTCAGCTGTTTTTCACCCATGACACAGTGCCTTTGCAGGCACCATTTACACCTGGACAGTGCCTGGTCCTCCTTGGGTGAGGAGTACAGGATGGACTGGCACAGTAAGCTGGTGGCCAAGTCCCAAGGAGAAGCACAACTATGCTCTGAGTGCCAGATACTGTGCTTTCCTGTGGCTGCCTTCCTGGCATTCTACACTCCACTGGTGAGCACAACAGCCCCAAACTACCCACGACTCATCTTCCCTCTGCTTCTGGTTGAGTCAGGCTCTTCTGAGAAGGAAAAAAGCACCAGGCAGTGTACATGTGGGAAGTGACACACAACACTTCCAACATGCAACAATGTGATTTCACAGATGTATAGATGAGTTTCCTGGGAGCTCTGCAATATCATTCTCTTTCACACTGAACGTAGTAATGTTTGTGTCCTCACCAGCAACACATTCCAAATGAGTACATCAAAACATTTCATTCTCCTCGCTGCCAAGCTCGGAGATTCCTCTGGTTTACCATCCTTTTCTTCCTTTCCAGACCAAAACACCATGGGAAATGATACAACAGATTTCACCGATTTGCCATATACAACAGAATTTGACTATGGCGATTCGATACCATGCATGGGAACTGAGGAAAAGCACTTTGCATCAAAACTTTTGCCACCACTTTATTCTTTAGTGGTGATATTTGGCCTGATAGGCAACATGCTCGTTATCCTTATCCTGGTAAAATATAAGAGGTTGAAGAGTATGACTGACATCTACCTGCTCAACTTGGCAATTTCCGATCTGCTGTTTGTATTTTCTCTCCCTTTTTGGGCTTATTACGCAGTTCACGACTGGATTTTTGGGGAGGCGCTGTGTCGAATTCTCTCAGGTGTCTACCTCCTTGGCTTCTACAGTGGCATCTTTTTCATAATCCTGTTGACCCTGGACAGGTACTTGGCCATAGTGCACGCGGTGTTTGCTTTAAAGGCCAGGACAGTTGCCTACGGCACCCTCACCAGCATCGTCACCTGGGCTGTTGCTGTTTTAGCTTCTGTTCCTGGGATAGTGTTTCACAAAACTCAGAAGGAAAGTTTACGTTATACTTGCAGTGCTCATTATCCAAGTGATTCCACAATAAATTGGAAGTACTCCTTTATTTTAAAGATGAACATTCTGGGACTTATTGTTCCAATGCTCATTATGATCTTCAGTTACTCACAAATTCTTAAAACATTATTGAGATCTAAGTGTGAGAAAAAACAGAAGGCAGTCAGACTTATTTTTGTGATCATGATCTTTTACTTCATCTTCTGGACACCATTCCATATTTCTTCTTTTTTGCATACATTTCAAGGTTCACTTTTCACTCCAACTTGTGATATCAAAGGCCAACTGGAGAAAGCAATTCAAGTGACAGAAACAATATCAATGATCCACTGCTGTATCAATCCTGTGATCTATGCATTTGTTGGAGAAAAATTTAGGAAATATCTTCACGCCTTTTTCCAAAAGCACGTTGCAGCTCACCTTTGCAAAAAGTGTCCAAGTCTGTATCAGGAAAAATTAGAAAGAGTCAGTTCCACATTCACAGCATCCACTGCAGATCACGACATCTCTACTGGACTGTAAAATTACATCAGAACATTAGTTAGTAAATGTTGCACCACTTGCTTTGCCTTAAGGACTGCCTGATGTTATTTAAGATCTTTATGTCGACCACTACTGAAAACTGTATGACCCTCAATTCTTGTGGTTTAGTGTTCCCTGGAATTACAGCATTTTCCATTGTTAAACTAAGAGAATCAATGAGTTCTCCAGGAAATATTAGTACCATAGCTGTAGCACATCAAGATTTGAATGGTACCCAGAATAGTATGATTCTGTTTCTTTACAAAAATTCTATCCAGTGAGATTTACCCCGGGGAAATACAATATTGCAAAGGGTAAGGAGTATTAGGTCATCTCACAAGATCCATTTCTGTTAGTGAACACTGTAAGATAAACACCAGGAGGAAGCTTTGGGGATTGATCTACCTGTTTAGTATTCAACCTTAGTGAAGTACCTTTTGGAAGTGTCTGTATTCTTTCTGCAACATGGTCAAGCCTTTGATAAGGAGAGGCTTTTAGTTTTCTTTGTTTTTCCCTCCTACTCCTTATTTTCCCCACGTGAATAAAAGATATTTAAATAAAAAGGAATTTAAGGATTAATATGAGTTATATCAAGATAATATCTCTCCTCTGATGGGAGAATTGACTGACCTTTATCTTACTGGGACCATTTAACCCAAGGGTTTATCAGTTAGCTAACAGTGTAGCCATTTTTGAACATAATCTTCTCAACTACAGACTAAGTTATAGTATTTTGATTTTAGTTTTTTAATTTTATGTCTACCATATCACTGTTCTGTTACTGACGTCTTCCAAAGTGGGCTGTTAATCAGCAATATTGTGATTTTTGTGGGTGAAATTTTTCATGTAACTGTACACACCAACTGCACAAGACAATGATGCCAGCCTAAAAAACATTAGCTTGTTTCTGACAAATCATATCCCTCCAAGAAAAAAACCACTTAACCAATAAAAGCACTTCAGCAAAGATCTACAAGGCCAGAATGAAAATTACCTCAGCATTTGCTATGCAAGATTCAGTATGAAAAAAATACCACGAACATCTGAAGGATTTTGGAGACTATGATACAGCACTGAGAGGAGGCCTTCCTAGCTCTGGACAGACAAACCAAGTGTGTAGAAGAAGAGTTTATGTGGCAACACATGACACAAGTGTGTCAAGTTAGGTTTCTGTATGAGAGAAACATGCTCTTCGCACATACAGCAAGTTTGATGTTTGGGAAACACTTTTAGGAAGACAGTAGCCTTAGAACTGCAAAAGCAGCCAACTCCAGAGGAGTCATATTTGCTCTGTCTTCCCAGGAGAAGAGTGCCTCTAGCCAACTGGTGCCTCAATTAGAACCGCATGGTGATTGAAGACTCAAGACCTTTATGCTCTATGTTGTCCTATGTCCATACACTTATTCCATTATTAGGAGTTTCCCTGTAAAAGAAAGTGCTATTCTAGGGACACGGTGCTAACAGCGAAGAGAAAGGAGGGGCACAGTAGAGAGTTTCTTACTTCAAACTGTATGGAAGTGCAGGGGAGCACTCCTTATGCAAGTGAGCTGTCCTTCCCTTTTTCTCCCCATTTATTTCAAAGGGCACTGCTCATGTATGTAAGGACTTGCTTATGGAAATCTGAAGGGGCAAGTTCAACCAACTTCCAGCAAGGTAAGGATACCAGAGGGGACTCCACACTACTTAACATTGAGCATGTGATGTAGATGTCTAAATTACAGCAAATCTCTTCAAGGTGCCTCAGTGAGGCACTCAGTAGAGAATAAGAAGTACCTGGGGCAGAAGCAGACATAGGATTTAAATAGTCTCAGAGGAAGATTACCTGTCCAGCTGTAGAAGGACCTGGAAATGCCAGCCTCTTAATTTAGGTATCACATGCCTTAATTTAGGTGGTGCAGATACTCTTCCCCCTCTAGCCTTATAATGCCTAGGCACGCTTCTATTAGTTGTTAGTTCTTATCCTATCAGCTGTTATTATCTGGTCCCATCAGCTGTTATTACCTGGCCACTACCTTGTGTGGTTTATAGCCACAGATAGACTAAATGAAAGACCAAAATCTACCCTCACAGTAAACTTTCTCGCTTGGAAATAATATTTTCTTTTATTTTGTACTTCTTACTGAAACAAAGTAAAAGCACCTTTTCAATATTAAAGTATAAATTAGTTCAGCATAATACAAACCTTGCTGTAACTGTGATATTACTACTGCTGTATTCTATTTTAAATCATTATCTTTTTGGAATTAAGTGTCTTCCTGTTTTCATGTTAATGCAGTGAAATTAATAAAATCTGTGTCTGGAAAATTGTATGTACTCTGTAGCCCATGTTCTCTTCTGTAAGCAAAAGGGCATTGGTTCTGCTCTCAGAGAAGAGGTGGAAAAAAGAGGCAGCCACGGGCTTAAACACTCTAAATACCACACTTCAAACCAAGCAAGCATAGAACTGTCTGCCCAGTCCAGAAGCTACTGCAGCTGACACACCTTTTATCCACCAGCAAGCTTGAGAAGAGGGAACTACAATAGCTTTGGGGAATGTCTGCGGCCACAGATTTTAGATGAGTGAAATCTGGAGAAAGAGGGTTGTGTGTGCTTTAAATAAGGAAAGAGAAGGAACAAAAGAGGGCAATAAAAGATGTCACTTTATTAATATTGGAATAAAGACAGGATTCTCCATAGACTTTCTGCACTGTATAGAGTGACCCCAGCCAAGCCATGTGCCTGATCTCCCAAGTTCTATGTGTAAGGGACTTAAGCACTCAAAGTTCAGTATGAAAATATGCTGCTCCTTTACCATGTAATACTCCCTGCTTTATTGTACCCATTCCTTTTTTCAGCCTATGATCCATATCTCCTCATATCCCCTGCACACTCTTCTCATCTGTCCACCATGGGATAAGCCAAATTCTATACCCACTCCTGTTTTTCTCTGATTTTGATTTTATATTTTGTGCTGGCAGAAACACAAACTAAGCCTAAAGATTAGCTTATTATTAGGTGCTCATTGGTTCTTCATTGTAGCTTTGCACTGAGATATACAGGGCTCTAGATAGCTTTGTGGTAGTTTTTGAGTCTTAATTGGTCAGATGTGCCTGCACCTTAGTATAGTTACAGGCCAGGTAGCCTCAAATTAGCAGACTGGTTACAGTGGGATGGAGCTACTCATGGGGAAGGTTTAATAAGATTCACATTCCCTATGAAAGAGAACACAAGTCACCTTGGCAGAGAGGTTGTAGAAATTTTACATACTGGAGGAAAATACTCCATAACTCAAGGTCTGCAGTGAAAAAACACTGAGATGAAGATACAATGTGTATGTGAGAGCTAGAGACGCAGGCAGATGTACAGAAACTGTGTGAGGAACTAGAGGTATGCTAAGAAAATGGCAAGGATTTGCAAATATGCTATGATTGTAACTACAGCAGAGAAGAAACTAACACAAGGAAGAATCACTGCAGTGTTTGTGAGGCATCTGCGTTGCTCTGGTGAGATATTGAGGAAACAAAAGCAAGCATTGGAGATAGTGTGCAAGTAGCACCAGAACATCAAACAGGTTGAAGACAAGACCTCTGTGAACTCCACAAGTAAATTGTTGCTTTACGGCAAATGTTGAACAGCTAAGTGGAAATTGTTGCAAGTTCAAAACTTTTGGAACTGAACTTCTGAAGGGGTAATGTGTTGACCGGGCTTCCAGCATCCTTATGAAAAAAGAATGTCTATGTGCCATGGACAAGTGCAGGTGCACAGCCCCGAAACCCATCACACAGTTTACTTTACGCACCGAACAGGACACAATCTGACCTTCCTGTTAGGAGATGCTTTTGTCAGGTTCAGAAACGTGTAGGGAGAAATATCTCACACAGCAAAAGATAACTCTGCCAGTGGTCAGGCAGACTTCCTAAGGGGCAAAAGGAAACATAGCAGAAGTGCATGTATGGTGCTGGTGACTGCTGAACAGTGCTCACAAGCAACCACCAGATTTATAATCACTACCATTGATTTGTCTGTAATAAGTATATGATGTATGAACATATATATAATAAAACTTCCGGTAACCAGTACATAGGGATGTTCCTGCCATAAGACTTTCTTGTTTGTTAATCCAACTGTAGCCTTATGTGTACATATTTTACATAAGATAAACATAAATGGGATATAAGGGAAGAGGAGTAAATGACAATGGATAAAGTAAATGACAAAGGAAAAAGTACCAGCAAAAAATGAAAGAATGACTTTATTAGCTCTAACAGAGGCTAATAAATCAATATAATAAAGTAATGGGAAGACCAGAGGTAAATACTTTAAGCAGAACATTCAAAGGTTTAGGTGAGTATGAGAGACTTTCAGCTCTGAAGCTCCAAAATAAATATTGCTCCTTCCAGTGAAAATTATAATGGGGATAAATTCAGAGAACATGAGGACAAATTCACATGATATCTTGTTGCAGTTAATGAGAAACAAAGGAAGTGCCAGGAGAATAACATGATGCTGACCAGGTTAAACAGCACAACAGGCAGATACTGCTCATTTTGAAGTTTAATTTTGCTGCTGATTTCAACTGCTGATGCCAACTGGCCTTGTCCTAGTGGCTACTGTGGTTACTGTGGCCTTAGAAGCATTATTCAACAGTATAGTAATTAAAAAACATTAAGCTAACAGGGGAAACAAAAGCAAACTGGAAAATTCTACTGCATTTAAAATATCAATAACAACCAGGTTAAAACAAAGGGGTGTAGGCATGTCTTTGTACCCATATTCTGGTGACATTTGCTTATTAGGAACTGTACTTCATTCAGAAAATAGAATGATAGGGCAAAAAAAGTGGTTTGTAAGTTTGTATAACTGCTAAGAGTTTTGTAAGTCTGGTGACAGCGAGAGCAATCTCGGTTTGAGTGTTTGAAGTCTGAAATGACTGATCCTGGGAAGGTGGGACCCCAACCCTGAGGTGGAAGAGGGCAGCATTATGAGCAACACAGGTCAGTTTTCAAAACTGCACTAACCTCCAAGTGACGCTCAGCTTTTCAGAACTGTCTACAAGATAATGCCAGTAGGATGCTATCCTTACGACATGAAACACACAACCTGTCCTGATACCAGACCTTTTGAGTGGAATAGAAACCAAATGGATAGAAGTAAAAGAGCCATTTGAACATAACTTTCAGGGTTGCTAATATAAGATATGCACAATTACAGACTATATCTAATCTTTGGTACCCAAAAGTACTTTCTCGTTTCTGGGTCCTGGTGTTGTCCTGAATATGGGTTTTTTCACCTGGTGTGCAAGAAGCCAGTTCACACACACAGAGTTGAGGTATTTGCTTCTTTCATATCTGCACAGAGATGAGTGCTAGGTGGTAAATCCACAAAGCTAGCACACTTTCAGCATGCCAGGTGCTCATTTTTATACATTTCGAACAGTAAAAATCTGACATTTCCCATATAGGTAACAACTTAAAGCTGGAGTCCTTGCCTTAGCATTCTCTCAACTCCATTTAAAGATACAGTGTACCCTTACTTTACCCTGCATGCTCTGTGAAGAAGGGGTTTTTGTGAATAAGGGGTGATCACAGCCTATAGGTGGGTACTTAACTAATGTTAAGTTATGTTAATGACTAAGCACTAAGCTCAAGCAGACTTCTTCTTTGGCTTTAGCAACAGTTTCATTTCCTTTGTATTTTGATTTAGTGTTCTTATTTCTTGGCCCACAGCTCTTTGTTCCTGCAGCTTTGATTGTTCTGCTGTTTTTCAAAAGTTCTTTTATTTCACCTGTACTATACTTCAGTGAATTTTCAACCCTCTCAAGGTATTTTATTTCAACACCGGCACACACCTTGCCATTGTACAGACTCCATTCATCCTTTCTGTGACCTAGTATTCACTGGGAAGAAATTTGGGATGTGATTTTCCTAACCTGCCTGATAAAAAGTCCAGGATTTACATGTACAATGAGGAGCATTTCCAATGTTCAGTTGTGATAGCCCCAAACACAACCTCTAGACCTAGAATTTATGTAGTATAAATGTACTCAAAAAAGCCTGAAGTGTGAGAATTAAAGGTCTATGTAAAAATGAGAATCTGAGAGCTGAAAATTTGTGAAATGCTTAACAGTGACCCAAAAGTAAAGTCTATTGTACTATGACAAGCCCTTATCTATAAAAAACAGGCAGCATACATCAGAAGCCCGGATAAAAATAGTAGAAGGGAGCAACATCCTCCTCCTCCTCATTGCATGAGGAAACAGTTGGTTCAGTAAGAGCAGGTTGGAGAAAGCCAAAACAAAAATGATAACATGACAATGGAATTAATATATGCTGCAATGTACAATTATGTATGTGCAAGATTTACAACACAGAACCTAAGAATAATAGGGGGAAAAAAACCCCATTGTCCTTCCTGTCAGTAAACAACCATGTGAAGAACTGTTAATTCAAATTAGAAATGCTTATGCCTCGCAGAGTTTGTTGTTTGTAACCCAGCTTCCTTTACATCTATGTGTAAAATGTTTCGTTTGTTTTTTTCACTAGTCTCCATGATAGAAATCTTAAGGTGTGGTACATCATATTTTTTTCCCTGTTTTCCTCAGAAGAATACATCTCACAGATGCTAAGACTGGGTATGATTGTTACGGTGGCAGCAAAAGATTAGTCACCAGAACTTGAGAATCTTAAAGAAAAAGCTGATAAGTATAAATACCCTAAGCAATAAAGCAGTTTTAGCTGAATGTCTTTAATCAGCCTCTTCAAAACAATTTCATGTTACTCATGAATTAAAGTATATGCCAATACTAACCTAATTTGGACATATTGAATATTCTGTTATGAATAGAACAAGTAACAGCACAGTCTATGTTCACTTGTCTTCATTAGACCTCTTCTCCAAATGAAAAGGATTATAATGCTTTGCTGTAGTTATAGACCTTTAAAAAGTGTTGTGCACTATCATACCATGTTTACCTAAAAAAGGTATTTGTCATTCTGTCCCAGGACTCTTTTTTCCCCAAGTCTTTTTTCTTCAGATGGTGCAAGTTTGCAATAAATTGAATGGAAACTGTTAGTTGCATTTTCAGATTTCTGTACCCACAAATCTACTTGATGACATTTGTGTGTCACGCTGGTACACGAGCTTTTGGTATGTTCCTAGCAGATATGTCAGTACTGGTGGAGACCTGACATAAATGACAATATCTCCTTGTGGGAGTGCCATACCACTTAGATACCAGATAATTCAATGTGATGGTCTGATTACTGTGAAAATGCATCATATAATCAGTCATTAGATAGAAGAGATTGACAAATGTAGTTTATTTGACAGT